CACGAGAGAAAAAAACCAAAAAGAATAGTTTAAAGGAAACAGATATTTACTGCACACAAAAAACCTTGGATTAACACAAGCTTCATGAAGTATCATAAGATAAGGAGAATTGTCGTCATGTACGCAAACGATAGCAATAAATTTTTTTAAAGATATTTTACGATGGAGAAAATGACTTATTCGAGTGTGAGAATAAGTATGACTGGCGTTGCTTTATTACTCAGATCATGTTATATTCTCTGTACTGCCTCGGTTGTGTCGCCAGGAAAGAACGAAAAATGAGTTTATAATAAACGGCGCACATCAAGCAGGTCTACCATTGTACAATGTATTTACGGTGCGAACCAATGCTGCCACCTTTTAAAGTCCGAAAAGCAGAAAATACTTTGCAAAAAGCAGAAAATAACAGAAGTTTTATCATCGAAAAGCAGAAAGACAGCAGAAAGTATGTTTATGATATGAAACTAACGAAGAGCTCGTAATAAAAGAGGGTCTCCGTATTTTGTTAATATCTTAAGCGTTATCTTATCGCTCACGCTTTATTTTTTTATCAAAACCCATGTCGTAAATTTTTCATCAAAACCGCCGGTTACCGGTGGTTTATAGGAAAAACGCCGGTTTGAACGGTTTCTGTTTGTTTATCGATTTTTTTATAATTTTTCTTCTAAATTAATATTTTTAGTCTTAAAAGAATCGATTGCAACTCAAAAAAGTCTAGATACCAGGTGTGGCAAAAGTTTTGCAACATTTTTTGTTTTCCATATATCCCTGTTCAGGAGCATGACAATATGTTGATCTTTTTTTAAAAGATGCACCGTCGAATTCTCTACAATCCTCTATTGATCTTAATCTAGAACAGTAGAATTGAATATTTTTACAGGTTGCATAGTGTAATCTTGTGAACTGCGTTTACTTCCCATGCATACTTTAAAATTTTTTCAACGAGCTTTCCGCGTTACAAACAGGCACATAACAGACTTTCTATTTGTAATTTGAGTGTACATTAAATGCTCTTTCAGAATTATTTGTAAGTGTTTGATCACAGTCTATATTTATTTACAAGCTGCGGTTTGTCTATGGTGCTACAACGAAAACGGCGCCGTTCACACTATTCAGATTTTTCTTCCGTCTGAATCATCTTTTCACACGTTTTTCGGTTCCATATAGAAAGAGAGATCAATTCTCTACAAAATTCTGAAAAATTGAATTCGATTTAGTTATAGATGGCATATCTAGAATGCTTTCTTTGAAAAGGAGAAACCAGGCATGAAAATCGTGTTGTTTTCAAAATATGGCAGAGCGCCCAACCGAAAGAATAACTATTTAAAAATGTTGGATATATACTCAATCGACAGAGGGTTTTAAGAGCTGTCTAGCAATAAATAATACTTTCATAAGAAAATATTCACTTGCACGAAAAGAATGAATTAGTAAAAAATGTATGGGAAGTAAACGCAGTTCACAAGATTACACTATGCAACCTGTAAAAATATTCAATTCTATTGTTCTGGATTAAGATCAATAGGGGTTTGTAGAGAATTCGACGGTGCATCTTTAAAAAAAAATCAACATTTTGCCATGCTCCTGAACAGAGATATATGGAAAACAAAAAATGTTCCAAAACTTTTGCCACACCCGCACAGTGAGCAACTTTCGTATACCAGGCAGTCATGTAACTTATTTCCTTGAAAATGGATTCGTATTGCTTAGAAGTCGTCACATATCACTTAGAATATCATTTTACATGAAATAAACCATTTTTTGAAAAAAAAAATCTTTTTGCCCGAAAATGCCTGTAGGAGATCTCAGCCAAAATTTTCGAAAAAGTTTTTGTTAGAAAGCGTATTGTATTGTACACCATTCGACGCAGTTTTATGCGCTGATTCCAAATATTGCCTTGGTTTTTCGCTAAGATGCTTTCTTAAGGCAAAACAAAGGGCAATGACTTTCTTCTAAGCTTTCCCTCAAGGGGGAAAAAGCTGATTTTTTTGATTTAAATCAGAAAAAAAATCAAAAAAATCGAAAAAATCAGAAAAATCAAAAACATCAGAAAAATCAAAGAAAAATGGTTCAAAATCAAGAGTTTTCAAGCTCTGTTTTTCAAAATACTTATTATTTGACTACATAATACAACTACCGAAAAGAATTGAATCAGACCAAGTCTCTAGAGTCTCAAAAATCATAACCTAATTCGGTTCGAATGAGAACTAACTTTGAGCTTTGATTATTTTCGATAAGTTCATCGTAGATTTTGTCATGTCTAAATTTAAGACGCCTTGGTCGGCTTCGGAAGGAAGAAAATGTTTTTGTCGCCATCCCATTAGAAATCCATAAAGTTCGATAGGGTTAAATGTATCGATTTCCCCTTTAATGTTTTTTTGAGTTGCTTAGATAATCAGAAAGATCTGAAGTAATTTGTGAAGTTGTTGAAAAACAGTTTTTTAGTTGGAAGCCCATTTAAAGCCGTCTTGAATTAATCTACAAAGGGCCCATATGATGCAAAATGTTTCTCTCTATCAGAATCTACAAGAATATCTCAGACATCAAAGGCTTTTTCTTTCGATAAATGGCAAATATCACCCCACTTGGGTTGTATTATATCTAAAAATCCGTTTTTCGATTATTATGAGATTAGGATTTTTTTTCGAATATTCTTTTTCTATGGCTACAATGCGGTCTGCACTTTTTTGGTACTATTTTTAACATTAAATTCGATATTTAGTATAGAATTCTTGCCCTAACCAAGATATGCAATTGTTAAGTTATAACTTTTTCGAACAATATTCGATGATTTTCAGGTAGAGATAATTCCATTTGATTTCAAAATGGGGGTATTTCAAAGCAACGACGAAAGCTCAATCGATAAGTGTATTTAAATAGCTTGTGCGGCTTTTGGTCCCGCTTGATGTTCACCCATGGACTCCTTCAATAAATAAAGAGAAATGGATTTTTATAAAGGCCTTGTCAGAAAACAGAGTTTTGATGAAAAGGTTTTGTCGGATAAGTATATGGACATGTTACCTGGAGTGCCGAATATGACAAGTGATAAAAGAGAATTTTAATTCAGGAAAGTTTTTGGGAGTTTTACGAGTAACCTTTGAAACCATTTGGACAAGTACTGATGTCTCTAGTAGTCAGTACATTTTTTTTCTTCCATTTAGATTGTCGTAACCAAATGCTTTTATAAAGGTGATATAGATCTTGCGCAGCTTGAAGATATACTCTTGATATCCTCCGTAATTTAGCATTGCTGATGCAAATAAGAGTGCGACTAATGAGAAAATTCTAAACACCTGATGGCACATGGGAGCTCAGGATGCCAATTTAAAACATGTTCTTTATTTAACTTAAATGGAGGTAATTCATATCTGAAGGTAGTCGAATATTAGTCGAAAAAGGATAAAGCTAGCAATCATATACCTTGATTTGAGCCAAAGTTCTTAACTAGATATTTAATTCTAAGTAGAAAATGACACCAATAAAGCTGCAGATTGAATGGTATATTTCGTAAAATACGGAGCTGACATAATCATAGAAACTTTAACTTCATAATAATCCAAAAATACTTTATTAGGCATAAGAGAATCCGACTGGGATGAGGGGGAGGGGTATTTGACATTTATTGATAGACAAAGCATCAAATGTTTAGGATATTGTAGTAAATTGTGATGGTAAAAAACATGCTGCTTAATCCGAACGTATTGTCAACAAATCTAGTTCTTCTTTTAATAATCTATGTAGCAGAGACCCAATCAGTCCAGTTTCCACAGACTTTGACTGCTCTAGAGAGCGTATGAACCTCTTCCAGTTGCCTGTGCCTGCTGTTTGTTTTCATCGATCTGGCCTGGCTATGTGTTAAGATATTTTCACTGTATTTTTTATGTGAATATTAAGAGAAGACTTCAATAGAAGTACAGAACAGAAATAGGATCAGTTCAGGCTTTTCGAAACTTAAACCTAACTGGACTAAATTTTTTTTTAAAAGAACTGAACCGAACTGGTTCCATATCTGGTAGAAAGCTATCTTTATCAGAGAAAGAAGTTACTGATATCAAAATATCATGATTAATCAGAAAATCTAATGATTTACTCTACTATGTGGCTGCTGACTAGAGCCAACCAATATTAACATATGAGAGAAACTCTATTTTTTGGACGATAATCTATGGAATTCATTTAATCAACGTTCTCAAGAGGATCTATCAAGTACTGGATTCAGCCATATTACAACTGTATAAATATAAATCAGTAACATAAAACTTCTTAAACGCTTTCTATAAAAATCTTTAATTATAATGAAAGCAAATCTGCGAAGAGTAACGTCCCAATGTGAATAAGTTTAATACATAAAATAGGCTAGATGCAATGCAGCGACAATCTATCAACAGTCAAGATTGTATGTGAAGGCTTTTAATTAAAGGGTGGGTGTGGGTGTGGGTGTATGAGAAGAGGAACACCCACACCCCATACCCGCACCTTCCCACACCCACACCCGCACCTACCCACACACACACCCCATACCCGCACCTACCCACACCCACACCCGCACCTACCCA